GAGTGTTGGTGGCGGCAGCGCCTCCCGTGGTAACATGAGTGTTCCCCGAGATGCCAGGCAGCAGCACTATCTTGCTGGAGAGCAAGCCTCCACCGCCTACGGCGGCACCGAGAGAGCCCGTCTGCTGGAATTTCGCCGGGGATTTGGTCTGGCGGCCACTCTGGGTGGTCGTGATATCCATGTCGGTGTCCATGATGTCGTGTTTTCCGCGGTTTGTGTTGTATCGTGTGTGTTGTCTCGAAGTGAGCGCTACAACTCACGGACGGCGTCATTTTTTTTTACACAAGTTGCACAAGTCGTTTAAAATGACTGCACACAGGTTCCAAGTTTTTGAAAGACAAATGTCGAAAATTTTGACAAAAAGTCGGTCCGTTTAAAACGGCCGTTAGCCGGGGTCGAATACAGTCTCGTGGGTATCGTATCACGCAGCAACGGAATTGGCCGCGCAGTTTTCGTTGGGTCGCAATCACTTTGTAACCCAATTCCGATCGCGGGTTTTTGGTTTAATTACGATTGCCAGCTAGGTGGCTCTGCCGCTGTATCCACCCACTTCGATGCTTCCTGGTACCCAGACTCCGTTCACATCGTCGTGTACTGGAAGTCTTCTCTGTGTTCTCAATCACTGTCGGCGAGCGGGCCCAACCCGTCTCCGCCGGATGGCCCATCAGGCAGAGGTATCAGGGGGATGGAGGACGTACATGATGGTTCGTCGCTCCCGTCAGCACCTCACAGCCCTTCTGGAAGACATTTGGATACAGACAACGACTGCAGCATTGAGCATTGGCCTGTTAATCCTTCCGGGAGAATGAGTGATTAGGGCTCGAGCGCAGCAAGCACTGGTCCAGTACTCGCTCCCGGGTCGCGGGGTTAGGGCGGAGCACGTCGGGGAAGTGGAAGCTCCCAAACTTTCGTAAAGTTAGATATTGTCAGTCGCTACTTTTGGGTGTACACGTATCGGATCGACATTCGGATTTTTCCAACACAAGCCTTTGAGATGATATGTCCTGGGGGTAGGCAAGTAGCCACTGCCGATCAGTTCCGCTTGGGTCGCCCAGGCGAAATTGGTTTACCGGTGTTGCAGAAATTTGGGATGGTTGTACTACGCTCTCCTTGTTCTGTAAATATGAATCCATGTACTCCACTCTGTTCGGATTGTAATATTACTTCATGTACATTTACAAGCTGTTCCTGGATGGGGACCGAGGATTGCTCCGCGAATTCCACGCCATCGTCGTGGACGTGTGGCAGACGGGGAACGTACCGCAGCAGTGGAAGGACGCCACCATCAAGGTTCTGTTCAAGAAGGGGGACACGATGGAGTGCGGCAACTACCGGGGCATCTCTCTCGTTGCACACGCCGGCAAGGTGCTGCTTAAGGTCGTTGCAACACGCCTAAGCCACTACTGCGAGCGAGAGGGCATCCTCCCGGAGGAGCAGAGCGGTTTCCGCCCACACCGGT